CTAAATGTATATCATTCTGTAGTGTCTTCCTAGCTCAGAATGTAAGCTCCATGAGGGGAAAAATATTGTCTCTCTAATATACTCTCTCCACACCTGTAGCACTGAGAACAATGCCTGACTCATAGTAGGTCTTCTTGTAAAATAAATGAATAAATAAATCCACGCATTACATAGGATTCATAAAAAATTGAGACCTATATAACAGTGTTATTGATTTCTTCTATAGGAAATTAAGTTCGACTCAGTATTTATTATAGGCCTACTATGAGCAAAGGGGCACATATAGATAATAAGACAAGGCATTAACTAAAATTAAGGAAGAAAGACATGTAATAAAATTAGCTGTAATCCAGTTAAAACCTTGATAAAGGGTATGTAAGAAGCAAATAAATTATAATGAGAGCACAGAGGAAGACACAGTTGTTCCTTTCACCCCTGATATGGGCAAGATACCTGCTGAAGGACACAGGATATCCACTTCATAGAAAGGTGATCATATACAATTAAAATATCTTAGATTCCCAAAAGTGGACAAGGAGCAGAACAAATTGGTTAACATACTTCCAGAATTTAAGTATAGGCTGAATTTGTAGAGTAAATCAAAGTCATATACAAAGTATTACACAGAGGTACCATTTGTATCCTGAGAAGAAAACACATCCCTGATCTTTTGTGTTTCTCTTTCTCAAGCTCTGATTTTTCCTTCTCTTTTTCTAGTTCTGCCGTCCCATTAAAGTGGGTGGGATGACTGATGAGTGCAATGTTATCCTAACTCCTTTTCTTGTAACTGGTGAAGAGTGATGCCACCGCAGTACACATGTAGTAGAGGTTTTAGAGTAATTTATACCTGGGTTCTAATCCCGGGTCTCCTATTTACCTACTGGACGACCTTGGGCAATTCTGCTTAATCCCTATGCTGCAGTTTCTTCATCTACAAAACTTGAAAGTATTACTTACTTCATAGCACTGTTGTGAGAATCAAACAAAATAATAAATTATTAGGCTAGACCTTAATACATTATAGCAGACACCACCATCATTGTTATACATTTTAGTGGGAACTGATGATGCTTTAAAAGTTAATTTAAAAAAAAATGTTTCATAGCGTATCTAACTTTCTACTAAATATTGAGTTTAGTTGGTGGGGTTAATGATGGCTACCTCCGGTAGAGGCCATGGTTTGTGAACTGAAAAAAAAAACCTTCCGGGTGATAGATATCAGTGTGAAATAATGTAGTGACTATTGATGAGAAAAATCTCTATGAATTGCCCATCTAGTCCATGCAGGCAAATGGCAATTTTAGGCGTGTGTCATTTCTATTCATATCTGGGAAAAATTTGTTGGTGACTACTGTTCTTACTTCATCTAAAATTTATACTTTCAAATAGGCTTTCAGTTCACTTAAAAAGCTACAATATCATTTGGTCTCCACCTTCATCTTACCACCCTCATTCCTGTGACCTCTTCCCTCGTGGGTGCTGTTTTACTTTGCAATCATTGATTATGCTTCTGATTTACTTGATAAGTAAATGAAAGTAATGATGGTGTCAAGAGTATGATTTAAGAGGAAGCCCTGGGCATCTCTCTGCACCAGGCTGGATGAAACCACCCTACCAGGCCCTGCACTTCAACATGTGTATACCAATCAAGGTAGCCTTGAGATTTTCTTACTGGTTTTTCTTTTTAAAAATTGTGGTCCAATTTATTATTTTTTGTCACTAAATACAGCATTATTGAGAATCCACTGAATGTGTAGTAAGGAGACAGGCAAATAAATAGATTTCACACAAAATGTGGACTGTACAGAAGACACAAGAGTATAGAAAAAGCTTCTGAAAGGTAAGACGATATTCTACTAAACAAATTCTTTACTGATCTGAAATACATTTTGTTTCCTGGGCAGTAATAAATAACTATATTTTGCAGCTCATTTGGGAGACAGACAGAGCCTGTAATTCTAGGCTTGGAAGCTCCCGTGAATGTCAGTCACTTGCCATATTTGGACTATCTCATTTTATTATAAAACTTAGGGGATTTTAAGAGAACAATAAGAAAGTGGGCTGTCTTTCTCAAGTTTCTGAAACAGCACCTGCTGCCCACTGGTGGGTCCCTATTTGCTGCAAATTGCTGAGATGTAAGATTTTGCCTCTACGCTTCCATGCAAATTTGAGCACACAAAAGAGCAGTAGTGCTGTCTTATACAGTAGATTCAGTAGAGTGAAGTGGGTCTCTCGAGAGCTAGTTAATCTTTTTCTAAAAGAATAGACAAATTTTGGAGAATAATTACTCTAAGTTGTGTCAATCCACACGATAAAAAGATACACATTTTGCTGTGTGTAGAGGAGAATGGCAGCAAATAGCACCCCAAACCAAATATAATTTCTAGTAAATATAGAGAGGAGAAAAATAATCCACAAACTCAATAAATGGTCTTCTAATTATTTATCTGAAAAAGCCAGGGCACCTTCACCTTTAAAAGTGTGTGTGTGTGTGTATGTGTGTGTAGGCATGTGTGTGTATACAGATACACATACATAGAAATTCATAATCTTTGAGGACTTTGCCAGCTGGGGTGGAGGTAGGGTCCTTCTTGAAAACTTTTAAAATTGTTAATTAATTATTAAGCCATTTTGGAATTGATGTCTATACCAGATAACCCCGTAAAGATAGATCAAAAGCACACACATAGTTCTGGGCAGAGGCTGAAGAAAGACAGATGTAGCAAATAATAGCTAGTTAGGTCTTCTTGTCACTGAAGGAGAAAGCACCGCACTGGTCTCATAATGTGTTCAATTATTGATTAGGCTTTGTTACAGCTACAAATGAGACTAACCCTTTCCATTAGCAGATCCCAGTTCTTAGCAATGCAGTCAGTTGTTTCAAAGGCAGAAAAGATCCCGGTAGCATTAAATGCTTAAATAAAATTTCTCACTGGGGTCTACACCCTACTCTCTTCAAATCCCTTTCCCTACTGTTGCTGAAGCTACATACACGAGATATTTCACCATTTGATGCACATTCTAACTTTGTAACTTAACTCATTTATTTAAAAAAAGCAACCCTGGAGAAAGCTCATTAGTGTAACAATAAAAGAATGGGTTTTCCTCTTTAATGCAACTTTATAACATACATTCTTAAACCTCATGTCACCCAAGATAGCATTTGTATTTTATCTTATAATTTGTGTATATGAGTGCATAGAGCTGCCATTTTTTAAACTAAAAAATATTAGGAGTTCACTGTCTTTTTGGATTTCTTTTAAGGCCTTTCAGTACAGCCAAGCTGAAGTAATAATGTCTATGCATGGTTTTGTTATTGTGGCAATAACAAGTCCTCAGCTTACAATAATATAAGTGCTTAGCGGGGACTAGGAACAATAATGGTATGCTGCTTTTTAATAACTGGTAAATAGTATATTTTTGTCTAGTTTAATTAGAAATTAGAAAGAAAGAAAGAAAATAGTTTTCATATATATGAAACATATTCTATTTAATAAAGTATATGCATAAAATTATATACTGGGTAAGAAGCTAAATTAAAAAGAAAACAGCTTATAATATTCCTGATTAATTAGAGTTCCTAAATATAAAAACAAATGAAAATGCCTTGCCATTTAAAAAAATTAGCACATTATACAACCCTTACATACTTCAGAGGAAATAAAGATCTGTGACATTGTTCTGAGGAATCTTTACATTTATAAAAATCGAAGGCCTAATTTTGCAAATACAACTTTCAAGCTGTATGAGCAAATGTAACTTACATGAAAGGCACAGGATGACGTCACGTTGAAGAACGTATCTGTAAATTTCATAAAATCTAGTCACAGGTCACTAGAAATTTCATAAGGAATCTCAGAACTGTTTTTAACATGATGTTCTGATTGAAACTGAGAACTGGAGAGTCTTTAGATCACAAGTACAAATCGAAGTAAGAGTGAAGAAGAGTTAGAGAGAGAACAGTTTCTTACTGGAACGCTACCTGCTTTATGCAGTGTTGGTCACTCCATTCTCAGAGCAGATAATTAACATTTTCTTTAACTTGAATGGTTTTCAATTCTCAACGGCTTATCTACTGTATTTTCTTAGTTTGTAAAAAAATGTATTTTCACATTACTACAATTTTTAAAGAGTCAATTGTTGAAAGAAATTTTAAAGTAAAGTCCTGCTCTATTAGCTTCCTACATTGGAATACAAGAATACAGGAAGTGCTTTCAACAGAAAGTTACGTAGTTCTACAGTACAACCTGTCTAAAAGACTTGCAAGGGACCAGTCCAGTGACTGGGTCTCTTTGGATCAGGCAAAAGCAGAGGCAAATGAAGAAATGAGCTTTTTTTTTTTTTTTTTAAATAACATATAAAAAAATTCCTTTATGAAAATGAATACTTGCTTGCACTTGAGATTTAGTGCTGTTGAGAAGAACCGAGGCACAATGAATCTAAGTGCACAGAGGGAAAAATGTCTGAAATAAAACAATTCTCTATGTAATTGAAACCCCTCGCCATCAGATATGCCCCAGGATAGAGCTGAGACCTACTTTTTCAGATTAAGGAACATTTCCAACACCAGGGATGAGCCAGTCAAAATACGAGTTTCCTGGTTAACAGGACAATCCTAAAACAGTGTTGCAACTAAAAATTCTAATTAAAAAAAAAAATCACTCATAGTTTTTTTTTTTTTTTTTTCATGAAATGACTGGCTCTTCTGCTTTTAAAGTAAAATTAACTTCAAACAAAAAGCATGCTCTTAAAACTCTGGAGGACTGTTAACAATGATGATGCAAGTGTCTCATTTCCCAAACAAGCTCTACCAGAGACACATCTTTTCTTCATTTGTGTCAATATTAGATGTTCTTTCCACAGAACTTAAAGCATTCTGGTAGAATGTTGAGGATGAGGCTTCAAAGAACAGCTCTTCTAATGGTGACTAGGTAAAAACAGTAACGCTGCAATCAGAGATAATGCTGCCTTGGATTGTAATTGCTCGTTTATCCTATTCATCATGACTCTAGTAACGCATGCCATCTACACACTTGCTGTCCTTTCGACTCTTTCATTTCAGTCCAGTGATTGAGCTCCTCTTCTCCAGAGCTGTTCAGACCTAAGGAAATCCAGCCTATCATCTCTTTTCTTTTCATGCTGCGTTTGTTATACACAGACAGTATGAGTGTCACATCAGAAAGTTGAAATAGGGCCACTTGAAAAACAAAAGTCTCCTTGTATACTGGATTAGGCTGCCCTCTGCGGATGGATGTCTTGCATTTGGACATCTCTTGACCCATGGAATTCAGGAGAGTTAATTTAACATACGTATCTACAGAAAAAACAAAACAAAACAACATACCACAAATATCATTTGAAACAAACTCAAAACACCTTTCTTGTGACATTTGCTGAGAACATGAAATATTCATACTTTATAAGGATATGGTGTATACCATGTTTAATGGAAATTCAACGAATTCCATTTTGATGTAGATGCTTATAAAATCTTCTGTGGGTCGTAATATCTCAACTTCACTATTTCTGCATTACAGTTAGAATTGAAAGGTATACCTCATAATCCTTCCTCCACCCTCCCACCCTCAATCCTTCCCTCCCACCGCCCCTGCCCAAGCCCATCCCCATTTAGCTTCACTAAGCAGGACGTCATAGCATTAATAAACACTTAGCAAGCTCAATTAGCCACAACACTGTCAAGCATTCCACTGTGTTTTCAGAGAATAAGAATAAACAAACAAATAGAAATGAAGGCAAATGGTAAAGAGGAAAAGAAGACAAGAATGCAAAGATGACATCAAAACAGCTTAGGATGAAATGTCAAAAAAATCTCTGCATGGATGTGGTTTTTAAATATATTTTAAAAACATTTAAAAGGGCCAAAATGAAGCCAAATGCATTAAGGGCTCAAAGTTTAACAAATCAAGTAAAACTTTCTCCTGATTTCATGCAAGAGTACATTTAATGTGCTTTTTGGATAGTTAAAATAAATACTGTAGGATTCTTTTTTGGCAGAATTTAATGTGAAGTTTAAAGTATGGTATTCTTAACTATTTTCATGAGTTACAAAAAAAATTGATGTGATGTTTAGTGTACAAAGTGAAACATAACAGTTCATTGGCTGATTATTTGGGAGATAAACCCTCTCTTCAAACAACTGTGTTTTCAAGTTCTTTAGACTCATGCAAATGATCTTCAGCATGGTGATCCATCATGTGTACTTCATATCAAAATTTCAATTAATTTTAATGAAAATTGCAATATTTCTCATGAAATATCTATTGTATGAATCAAAATACAATAAATGAAAAATAAAACCTTTAATTTAAAAAGTTTTGCTTATTTTATACGTACTCTGTATACCATCATCCATAATCAGAGATAAATTCTAAGTTAGTTTTATTTAAAGTACCACAGATAATAAATGTGCATTTTTTTTTGGAAACCAACATGGTGGACAGCTTCACTGCTGGCAAGTTTTAGGGTATTTTGTTTTTGCATGAAAAGACAACATCCAATTAGCCTCTACAGGAACTCACCTCGGATTATATAAACCTGTCCACCTATCAAGTGTTTTAGACAACAGAACAGTCCATCTGACAACAGGGGGTGGAAAGCAGTAAAAGAAATAATGACCAGATGTCAATTGTTGGGTGAAAGAGGGTCAAAGGTTAGAATTAAAGAGGAAACACTGTTCACTGGAGTGGAAGAACACAAAACTTTAGCATTTTAATTCAGGTAGAGGGGTTGAACAAAAGGGGTGTTGGGTAAATTTCATGGAATGAGAATTTTTAAGGTCATTGTGTAATCTTAGACAAAAATTACACTGTTTTAAAGGGGGAACATCTTTATAATGATATCTTCTTGGTCTAAAGCACATTGAACATAGAATCATGCAAATTATCAGACTATAAAAGACTGAATAAAAGTTATCACAGGGTTACTATTATGCGAAGTATTGAAGTTTATCCATGCAATATTAAGGTTTTCAAACACTTCCATTACTTTTCAATGTAATATAAAATTAAGTTAAACAAAATAAAATAGGACTATCGAAATTTTTGCTCTGGCATGTTCCCACTGTTTCTTTGGATTAATTAGTCAATAACACAGTTCAAGGCCTAGAACAATCTCATAGAATATATATAGCATAAGACAGATTGATGAAACTGCATTATATTTTACTTTATAAATACTCCACTTCATACAATTAATTTTAATGTCGACTTATATTTACCTACAAGCTGCCTCCCAGCTAACACCATTAACGACCCTGATATTGAAGATCTAATTCTAAAATAAGGGAAATTGCTCTGACTTACTCTTTAACCTGAAAACACCTGCTCGAAGTCTTGTGGATGCTAATCTCTCAACCTGTTTATTATTCACCCTGCCTCCACTGCCCCCTCCCTTCATTTTAGTTCTGCTTTCTCTGTTTCTATCAGAGTGGGTACAAGCAAAGACAGGAAGGCAAACAAATCATTCCATTCTGCTATTTTTTTTTTTTTAGCATCTCAAGTTAAATATTTGTCAAAAAATTAAACCACTAGCTAAAGCAAGAATGGCAAACTGATAGCTGTTGGCAGGATGTATCCCCACAAGATATTTTGTTTATCTCTTATAGTGTTCAAAAGTTTTGAATCTGAATGTCTTGAGGCAGGGTATGCACTTGTCACATGCCTCCCCACACTCTTTATCTTTCACCTGCCAAGCTTATTCATTGAAGTTACTTCCCAGGTCATTTGAGTTTGCATTCTATGTACCAATAAAGAGAACCCAGGTCCCACTTCCAAAGCTGCTTATTCTAATAATTGAATTGGTTCTTTCCTCCCTCTGAATTCTTCCTTCTGAAAGAAGAAAGGGGACAATAATAAGTCCATCTTTCTTTTATGCATCTTTATCTGATTGGAGTCTCACAGTCACAACTTTAATTTGACTTATGAGAAAACAGACTTAGGGGAGTTAGGTTACTCATCCAAGGGTAGAAAGATAAACATAATTTTGGCCTTCTGACTTTGAATTCAGGAATAGATACACTCTATGATATCTGTAAGAAGCATGGTTTCCAATATTACTTAGGGAAAACCAAATATATTTTTGTGACTTTTCACTTGAATTAAAAAGACAATGTTGAGGATATTTGGAGGTAAATAATTTAATTCAAGGGTGGAAGAAGTTTCCCTTCATTCAATAATTATTGGAGACTCAGAGTAAAAAGATGGCCTTAAGAGAAATCTTTAAGCAAATTTAAGATGGCCACTACTACTATGCAAGGTTTCCTTTCAAATCTTTAGTTTGGGTACTAACATCTTTAATTTCAGAGATGAATAAAGAAGCTGCTACATTCCCAGCTTATTTCTTTAGATACTGACCAACAGTGTTGGGGTCTACTGAGTGACAATCTCTCTGCACTCCCATAATCCGGCCCCACCTCCATGAGCAGGAAGAGAGATAAGGAGAGAGGAGTGACAGGCACAGATTTACCATCTCACTCTTTTCTCGCATCTAGGGGAAATTTTGTTTGTCCTGGTAAAGGAAAAGCCAAGCTATTTAAGAAAAGACTCTGCTGGCAGTACTGATGTATAATATTAAAGGAGGAAGAGCGTGAAGAAATAGTTTCTTCTTAAATTATCTTAATGGAGAAAAGAGAAAAAAATACAGAAATATTAACATTAGTTCATAGTACTGCATACAGACAGAAAACGTAACATCATTCTTCAGCTGACACCAATAGCCATACATATTCCTGACCATATCTGTGGAATACTACTAACTTTAAAAAACCCTTTAACTTTTTATAGCATTGGAAGATAATGGCTCTGATAGGGATAATTTATTTGGCAGACACTATGAAAAATTAAAAGTCTTGTCATCTTACAATTAATATTTTGAATTTCAAATTTGTCTACTTCCCAAACGACTGGGAATAGAAAACATGAAACAGATTAGCTGATGATTATACCATTTCATTTTGATCGGTTAAGACTAAATGATAGTATTGAGGTCCCTAACACTGAGAGTCCCATAAGTGCAGAAAACATAGGAATTAAAAAAAAATTTTTTTTTCACTCACTGGGTGGTCTGTTTGCTGCCAAGTTTTTGAAGTGGCTGCCTTTTATCACTTCTGCAGATAGTCTTCCAGTTGTGGCATTATAAAGCAGGCCAATGAGAATTTCTGGAACTGAGCCATGTTCAAGAGACTGACATGAGGATGTACTTTCACTACAGGACATTTCTGACACGCTCATTTGGGAGTCACAGCCCTGTAATCAAGAATGAAATCTTTATAGTGTTTTGTAAAAAAGATATTTTAAGAGATACATCGTTAATGCTGTGTTATTAGAATTAGGTAAATCACGATAAAGACAAGAGCTGCAGCGAAATTCCCAAAACACTAGATTAGATATGTTGTTCTTAGTGTACGTTAGTCCCTGGATTTCTTTTCATTCTACAGCAGTCAAAGAAATAACAGGACATGAGAAGGTTGTGTAAATCCCTACACATTTATATACAAATCAGAGAGGATAAATTTCTTAAACTCATAGGTGTTAATGACCTATTTTTGGAATGTGAAAAATTGTCGTTTAAAGACTTACTTTTAAAGACTGACACAGACTTAGACTCAAATACAATAAGTGTAAATGTCTTAACTGTATCTTTAATTACAAAGATTGGTAAACTTTGATTAAATAAACAAGAAAAAACTATCTGCTATTTATAAGTCAATATATGTAAAACACTGAGAAATAGAAAGTTGAAAAGGTGGAAAGTTATCATACAATTAAGAACCACAAGAAAATTGTAGCTACATGAGTATCACTCAAGGTTAGCTTTAAGGCAATAACCATTACTAGAGATGAAGAGGTAAAAACTCAATTTGAACTTGCAACTTACCAGGAAGATAAAATAGGTCCAAATTTGCATGTATTTAGTAACAGGGGCTCAAAATATAGAAAGCAGAAATTGCCAGAAGTAGAAAGAGAAACAGGCAAATCTACAACCACTGGGGATGATTTTAGCATACTTTCTTTTAGCAACTGACCAAACAAACAGACAATTACAGTAAATATGCAGAAGATTTGACTACCACAATAAGCAAAACTGACCTAATGGTAATTGTAGAACACCATACCCCCTAACTATGAAATACACATCTTCTCAGACATGCAGTGTTATTTTCACAAATTCACAAAAATAAAGCAAATAGCAAGGATTTTCAAATGGCAGAAATCATTCAGAATAGATCTTTTAATCAGCTAGAAATCAAAACTACCTTTTAGTAAAGAAGAAAGTCCCTATATATTCGGAAATAACCCATGGTATAACTAAATGATAATGAAAACAAGTTATCTGAAAAGAGTAATAAAAATAGATAAATGTTAGAGAGTCTAATTTAAGAAGAAAGGGAGAAGGCACGAATAACGAATATCAGGAATGAAAAAGGAGACATCACTACATATGCTATAGACCACGAAAACAAAAAAGGATAGTAAAAACAACTTTCTTCCAACAAATTTGAAATTCTGATGAAATGGACAGATTCCTAGAAAACTGTAACTAACCAATATGCACACAAGAAGAAATAGAATATCTGAATAGTGTTACTGAAGAGATTGAATTTATAATTAAAAACCTTCCAAAACAAACAAAAAACAAAACTAAAAAACTTTAGCTAGAGGGCTTCACTAGTGAATTCTAATGAATACTGCAAGTCTTATGAAAGCTCTTCTAGATAGCAGGGAAAGAGGGGAAACACAAACACTCTCCAGTTTAAAAATCTAGCAAAACCTTAAAGCCAAAGCCTGACAAGGACATTATAAAAAAAAAAAAATTACAGAATTTTCTCATTCATGAACTTAGATTTAAAACCCTAAATAAATGATTGGCAAACCAAATCTAGCAAAATGTAACATTGTACTCAATAGAAATTTTTTTGAATGTTCCCCCTTTGAAATTGGGGATGTGACAATGGTGCCAAATATAACTTCTAGTCAACACTGTAGTGGAGATTTTAGCTGGTGAAGATCCTAGCCTTACTAAACACAATAAAATAAAGTAAAACAAAACAAAATGTATAATGATTTGGAAGGGAAGGAAGCAGATAAAACTGTCCTTATGTGCAGATTATGTAATTATGTACAAAAGAAATCTAAACAAGTTCATAGATGAATTACAATTGCATAAAAAGGTAAACATTTTAATTCCATACATTGCTATATACCAGCAACAAATCTGAAAATAAAATTTATTCAAAAATAGCAATAGTGTCTTGTTGGCTCAGTCGGTCAAGTGTGTGACTCCTGGTCTCAGGATCATGAGTTCAAGTCCCTTAAAAATTTTTTAATTAGCATTTATTAGAGCATAAGATATAAAATATCTAGGAATAAATGTACAAATGATATGTGAGGTCTCTACACTGAAAACTTTGAATAGAGGCAAACTGAGAAGTGCAACACAGAAATACTATGGTAATGTATTAGAAAGCCCAATTTTGTTTTTTGTTTTTATTATTTCTTTAATTTTTAAAATATTTTATTTATTTATTCATGACAGACAGAGAGAGGCAGAGACACAGGCAGAGGGAGAAGCGGGCTCCATGCAAAAAGCCTGATGTGGAACTCAATCCCGGGACTCTGGGATCAAGCCCTGAGCTGCCTTCAGGCATCCCTAGAAAGCCCAATTTTGTAATATTCTCTCCAAATTGACCTATAGATTAAATAGAATAACAGTCAGAATCTCAACAGATTTCTTTGTGGAGCTTGACAAGCGAATCCTGAAGTGCTCATGGTCTATACATACAACACAGTATTATTTAGCCTTAGAAAAAGAAGGAAATCCTGCCATATGTGACAATATGGATGAACCTGGAGGACGTGATGCTGAGTGAAATAAGCTAGGCACAGACAAATACTGAATGATTCCACTTATATGAAATATCTAAAATAGCCACACTCACAGAAGAACAGAGCAGAATATTGGTTGCCAAAGGGTGGGGGTAGCGGAAAATGGAGATACTGTTCAATGAGTATAGTTACAGTTATGTTAGGCGAATCAGTTCTAGAGGTCTGCTGTACCATGTAGTGCCTCTAATTAACAATATTGTATTGTACACTTAAACATTTGTTAAAGCACAAAACATCACATTAAATGTTTTTACCACCATAAAATAAAATAAAATAACAGTAGAATGCACTGTTCTGAGTATCAAAATTTATCATAAAGCTACATTATTTAAGACATGATAAAAACAATGTAAAATACACTAACAGAACAGAAAGCCTACAAATTAACCTTGATACACACAGACCCTTAATTTATAACATGGGTGGAACTACAAAGCAGTGGGAAAAGTATCAACTTTTTAATGAATAGTGCTAAGACAACTGGTTGGTTATCCAACCAGAAATAAATGAAAGTTAACCCCTACCTCAAAACATACCAAAAAGTCAATTCTGAATCTAAATAATAAAAAGCAAAATGATAGAGCTATACATATATATATTTTTTGATAGAGCTATATGTTAACATAAGGGATTATATTCACAATCTCAGGGTAGGGAAAGAATTTCTAAAGAGGACAGAAAAGCATTAATCATAAAGGAAAAACTTGGTGAACCTGAAAACATTAAAATTAAGAATTTCTGAGCTTCAGCAGAAACGTTTAGGATGGTGAAAAAGCAAACAACTGGGTGTGAGAGAGGTGTAAAACACATATAGTGCACAATCAGCTCAAATCCAGGATACATAAAGAACACTTATAAATCAAATAAGAAAAAGACAACACAATATAAAAAGAGCGAGACATTTGAACCAGCAATTTCACAGAAGAGCAGCCAATAGATATATGAAAGGTTGTTTAACTTTATTAGTAATCAGGGAAATGGAAATTAAAACCGAGGTATCATTACACAAAAACAGGCTAAAACAGGCTATGTGTGGTGAGGACACAGAATAATGGGAACTTGCATGATCCCTCTGGTAGCAGAGTAATATGGCTTTAAAAAATGTTAAAAATACACATACCTTATGACCTGTCAGTATATACCCATTAGAAATTTGTGCAACGTTTGTCAAAAGACATACAAAAGAATGTCCACAGCAGTATTATTCACAAGAGCCCCAAACAGCAGAATGGATAATTTGTGGTGAGTTCATACAGAACAGCAATGATACTGTATATGCTATACAGCAATGAAAACTAATTATAACTACATTTACAAACATGACTTCGAGTAAAAAATGTTGGACCTAAAAGGATACTTGGTTGTATTAACTCCATTTATTTAAATTTCAAGGACAGCAACCCCAACAAAAAACCCCAAAATCAAAGACCAGACAAAACTTAACCATAGTATTTCAAATGCGTAAACAGGTGGTGAAACTATAAATCAATCAAGAAAGTTGATTAATGTAAAAGTCAAAATTCTGATTAAGTCTAGGGATGAGGGAGAGAAGATACAGTGATTGGGAAGGGCATGATGGGAGTATCTGGGGGTATTGGTCATGTTTTATTTCTTGACCTGGATTGAAATTACATGGGTTGTACATTTCTGTTTTTCATACTTTTCTTTTTTTTCTTTTTAAAGATTTTATTTATTTATTCATGAGAACACACAGAGAGAGAGGCAGAGACACAGGCAGAGGGAGAAGCAGGCTCCATGCAGGGAGCCCGACGTGGGACCCGATCCCGGGTCTCCAGGATCACGCCCTGGGCTGAAGGCGGCGCTAAACCACTGAGCCACCCAGGCTGCCCTGTTTTTCATACTTTTCTAATGCACCCTGGATTTCAAAAGATAAAAGGCTTAATGAAAGAATTATGTAATACAAGGACACAATATATACACAAATTAATGTGTGGTGATAAAAATACATATTTAGAACTTTCTCTGAAGATTCCTAAGGGAATTAACTCCACGAGTTCCAAAAAAAAAAAAAAAACCCACTATTTTCTATAATGGGTTTTTAGATTTAAAACATTTTAGATGTAGATTTTTCAGATTTAAAAAAATCTAAAAATGTTTTCTACAAATCTTCGAGTCTACTGTTGGCTGTACAAGTGGTTAAAGAGAATAAATGCATACCTGGGAACTGAATTAACTCACTGGACAAGTATTCAGAGGGATAACATCTCATATTTTCAAATCTAACTCTCAATTACAGAGGAGAAAGCCAAAAGGAATATACATCTTATATTCCTAAATCATGGGTATACAAAACACATAGTTTGGTATGTTTTCATGACAGTTGGAGGAGAAAACATAAT